TTCTCCTTCCTTCTTCACAGAGGGAGTATCACTTAATCGACTGCAGGAGGGAAGAAGACAGCCAAGATTTAACTTCAAGTTACATTAGAAGTAGGGCAGCATCTAAGTTTACTATTCCTGGTTTTTTCCCTTTCCATGATATTGAATGCATGGCTTAAAGCAATGCCTCCAGAGATTTCAAGTCCTGCATTCAGAGTTAGCAGGAGCAAGGAGTGCTATGGAAGCAAGCTGTGACTTGGACCTGTGGGGGAAGCATTCGGTATTGCTCAGCAGCAAACCTGTGACCAGGCAAGCTAGCAACAATGAGCTCAAGGGAGTTCCTGTTGTAGAAAGACTGGCTACAGGAGGGAAAAGTGCAGCTAAAGAGGTGTATGCAAGTGTGCCTACAGACTGAAGATTTTCTTGAGTAAAGAAAGCAGGGCAGGGTAGTGTGGTGTAGGACTTCCCAAGACATCTGACAAAGTAGGCTGTTGCCTATGAAAGCTCATGCCTCTTTGAACCAGTTAGTCCCAAGATGCACCCCCTGCCCTACCTTCTACCTGACTTCAGACTAACACAGTTAACTACCTCTGTGCTTGAGAGAAGTTTACCACAGAAATGTTTTCCTTCTCCGACTCACATGCCCAACCACGCTCTCCCCCCTCCAAAAACACAACCTGAATAGAATTTTTGGTTCTTCTACACTTGGACACTTACAGCAAGATTGGCTGGTCTGATGTGATGACATTTCCATTCATGTGAAGGTTGCATTTCATTGGCTGCCCTATAAACAGACAGAAATCCCAAATCTTAGAATTCCAGCAAGGCAAAGCTTCAGGAGTACTGCACTGGATTGCAGGTAAGGATAAGCAGAAGTAGCCTTACATGTTGGAAGAGCCATTAGAGGATTCATTTGCCCTTTCTTTTACGGTAAAACCGCACTAGAGCTACTGGAAAAGGTTAATTTGGAATAAAAAGTTCAGCTCTGGGATAGCCGAGCAATCTGCAAGATTTGAGATTGCACCTTACACAATTCGGCAGCAAGTCACTCAGCCACCTTTTGCCTTGAACACATTCAGCTAGTTTCCACTTGCTAGATATAAGGTTACAAAAAACTGTCAATACTTATGCTCAAGAGTAAAAGATAAATATATAATCAAAAGTGATGGCAATTTTCCTCTGTGATAATTTCCCTCAGATCTGTCCAGACTAGTCAAATGCTGTACTATCAACTCAGAGAAACTCATGTTCACTTTTACAGAAGCCTGATTCAGAAATGTTTTGGATGTACCTAGATCTTTGCCTTGTACAGTGAGGTGCACTAACATGTTATGCCTTCCCCTGGAGTACATAGCACTGGCTCCCACCAGGAGGCAGGATTCTGGTTTAGAAGTACCCACGATTGCATCTAATAAATAGAATTCAATACTGCTAACTTCAATGGAAACTGGCCTTTACCTTTATGCTATCCCTTTCTAGCAAAGCAGTCTAGAAGCAACTCTGATGGATAGCAGAGATATAACTGATTATATAAAAACCTGAACAAATGGCCTTAGTGCCAGTGTTACAACCCTCAAAAACATTCCCTGACAGAGACAGCACAAAAAGCAGCTGAAGCACTTTTTGGAACCTACATCAAGGTGGAAAAGCCTGTGATGAATTCATAGATCCCCCACACCTTCAACCCCAATCCTAGCCTCAGGCTTACCATCTAAGCACCTGTTGTTGTATTTCTTATATGCTGTAATGGCATCTTCCTTCTTTACAAAGACCACCTCAGCCACTCCAGGATGCACCAGACGGGCTCGCTTCAGAGCGCCACACACACAGAACAACTCCTGAGGAAAGATAAGAGCTGCTGCCAGTGCTGTATTAGTTACCATTTGGATCAGGAAGTCATGCCATCTCTAAATCAGGCTTACAGCACTTTCTGGCAGCACCATTTCATTCCATAGTCCAAGGCTCTGGGAGCAAAATGGCTGGTTCTCTAAATATACGTACTATGGTACAGGTTTTTGATGTCTGGTGGCCTAGTCTGCATTGTAGGTTTACTAACACACAGGCTGAAGGAATCATAGGGTTGAAAGGGACCTCAAGGGTCATCTGGTCCAGCTTCCAAACAGTCTGGCTGGGAGCTGTTCCAGAGGCCGGCAGCAGGGTCAGGTCTCAAACTAGAGACTTGAACACTGGCAGGCTGGCAACATCAGCCATCAGGCCCAGGACCTGGTGCTTTCCCAGCCTTAAACCAATTGGCTTCTGAGCAAATTCAGATCTCAGCAGCAAAGGGACCTTATGCTGGCAGGTCAGAACAGCAGTTGGCTACTGCCCAGGGCTAAGAGTTCAAAGCCATTGCAGTCAGGCTTTTGCACTCAAGTTTCACCACAAAGGAAGTATTTGGAGTTAACCCCTTAGCTCCTTTCAGCCTAACTGGCAGAGATGCATTGTCCATGTTTTGCATATAACATTTTTTTTAAAGTCCCAATGACCTGGCTGCTAGTAGGCAGCCTGTAGCAGAGAGCAAGGGCAGCTAATACTGGGGTGCAGGCTCCTTAGCTCTCTACAACACTATACAGAAGACCCAGCTTCCATTCTTCAGTCAGAAGGGTACAAAAGTGCTGTGAAGGCTTTGGGTATGGAACTTAAATTGGAGGAGGCAAAAAAGATACCACCATCATGTACCATTTGATATCAGATCCCCCAGCTGATGGCTGATCAGCTTAATGGACCCTAAAAAAGTCTCTGTTCAGAAAAAGCTAACTACAGAATCCTCAAGGCTCAAAGGAAATCAAACACACAAACCCCAAATGAAACGTGCCTAATGCAGTCAAATCCACATAGAAGGGTAGGGTGTGAAATTATAATGGCACAGATAAATGGCACTTACAACAATGTCTTCTTCTGTTACTCGTGGGTGCAGATTATTCACAGTCATCTTTGTGCCTTCCAGAGGGCTGAACACAGGCTGCCAATATAAAAGTAAAATGAGTCATTCACATTAGGGAGAGAGAAAAACACATTAGGGAAGACACAGTGACAGAGAAAACAAATAAACGGTAGTAACTGGGATCCTAGAGAAAGCAAATGGGGGGAGGAGGAGGGGGAAAAAAACAAAAAAAACCCAGTTGTTTTGGGGTTAAGTACCAAAGTCCACCAAATCTCAGCTCAACGGATCTTTACAGAAATAGCCCTTCTTCCATACTAGTTGGTCTCTGAAGTAATTCTTCTACCCCAACAGTGAATATGGCAACTAGTCTGCCCAACGTGCAACAGCGAGACTTGGCCAGTTAAAGCTCTAATCATATTGGACTTGGAAGTCACTGCTCATGTCCAAGTAATTTTTTATAGACAGTGGGTTCTAGTAAATCACCCCTGGCTCAAAACATAGTAGTAAATCCTGGTGAGTGGGAAGGGGCCATGGAGGGGAGTTGTCCAGCCAACCCATCCAGAAGGGAGTCCTCTTTCCTTACACTCACCTCAACAGGTGCTGGCTCTTTTGGTGGTTCCTCCTTTGTCACTAAGGTCCGGGACACACTTGTCAGGGCCTTTGTCCGAATGGGAGAGGGTGGGGCTGGGGGTGCTGTATAGGTATCATTCTGAACCACTTTGGTGAGCGGGACAGTCTTGGACAGAGAGAACTTATTGCCACTCAACCCAGCCTACAGAAAGAGAGAATAAAAATACCCCTGAAAAGTGTATACCTTCACAAGCAAAACTCCTTTGCAAGCAGCAACAACCAGAGGCATAAAAGAGGGCACCTGGGGCAATGGCAATTTCCAGCTGCCGGTGCTACTGGCATGGCCATGTGGCTGTGGCTGCAGCTGTTATTTTTTTGCCTCCACCTAACCTGGCACCTGGGACTACTGCTCCAGTCACCCTACCTTAGTTATGCTACTGACAGCCAGTGAGAGTTACCAACACACACTAAATACTCTAATGATTTCCCTAGAGAAAATCAGTGTTAACAGGCACCTCTGTTTTCACACTGCAATAGTAAAGCAGAGTTAAGAAAGACTTCCATGTTTAGAACCCCTTTAAGCCTGAAAATCTCACAGCACCTTACTGTGTGCCTGCAGAGATAACTGGGCTGTAATCACATACAAGTTGGCAGGTTAGTGTTTAGGCAGGCTAGTGTTTCTGAAGGAAAAGGCTGCCATAGCATCACAGGACAAGAGGTAAAGAGCACCTTTTCTATTTGGAACTGCTTGGGAAATTTTCACTTAGCAAAACAATGATGCTTGGAGCTATATCAGTATATGGAAGCTAACACAAGCTCTTGTGATAAGTGCTGGGGATCTTTAATGACCACAACTGGTTAGAAGCTCAGTTTTCTCCCTGAAACTTATTCAGATATTGGCACCCCCAGAACCACAGTGACACTGGTCTCATACTTATTCTAAAACACAAAAGGGAGATTGACTACCTCAGACTGTGCACACCAGGACAGTCACATCTATCTGTCTTCTCTTTTCCCAGATGGCTGGTACCTACTGACAGGCAGCCAACAGCAATTTCCCACTACAAGAGAAAGCTCCTGCTTTGTTGATGTCTGGGATCAGGGGGACCAGCAAGTTTCCATTACTTGCATGCTCAAGGCAGTGATGAGACAGGTCCAAAGAACTGCTCCAAACAAAGGGAAATAAACCAAGAACGAACATGCAGGACTCTCTTGTCAGCAAAGGAGAAAGCAGTTATTACAGCTGCAAAAGGCTTGTATAGCCATAGGGAGCCCAAAGGGGACTTTGCGATCTGAAGAAAAGTTGAAGTGTTGGCAGAAAGGAAAGGGCAGGGATGGAAGTGCACATTCCAGGGTTTCATCACTTATATACCATATTTATTTGACTACAAGATAAGCAGCATGTTGGGGAGGGGACCCTCATCTTACATTTACATATAAGAAAACCTCACCAGATACAGTCCATCTTTGAAAGGCAACATGTGCTCAGTAATGGAAACCAACTATTACATTGATTAAATGCACCTAACATTGAACATGATTATAAAGTACATGGCTCATATTGGGGAAACATATCTGGAAGGGGTAATACCATGATCACAAAGGTGGTTTCCCAGAGTGAGGCCTGTCCCTTGCACTTCAGGCAGGCTGACCCCTACATACAAGATTTTCCAAATGTGGGAAACTTGACTGCAAAAATTCTGTGGCCATGGGGGCTGCATTCACACAACACCCCCTGCCTCCCAGCTTACTCCTCAGCCTTTTGGCTAGGAGTAAGCGAGACAAGAGGGCATCTGAACCCCATTGCCTCCAAGCTTGGAGCTTGCACACAGGATACTTACCATGGATTCCAGAAGTATCCCAAGACTGATGGGTCTGGGAGATGGGATACTTGCTTGGTGGTACAACCACATAGATTTGAATGATTGAGCTCTATTCAGTTGAAAGTCGGAACTTGACTATTGGGTTTTGCCCAACAGAACTGATTTTGCCCTTGAAACTAAATTAAATAAATACTGATGGGAACCTGTCAATTTTTTCTATTTTGGCTTAAGGTCAAATTAGTTCACACTTCCAAACTGACTGAGCCAAGCTCAATTGTTTGAGTCTGTGTGGCTCAACCATTGGGCAAGTCTCTTCCCTCCCAGACCCATCAGCTCAGATGCCCCCTAGTCACACTTGCTCCTAGCCAAAAGGCCAAAGGAGTAAGGCAGGGGGAAAGTACAAATGCAGTCCCCCAATGCCAGGTAAGTAAAACCACCTAGGCTGAAAACCACCTCATGGTATCTCCAGGTCAGTTTTTTTTGGTTTGTTTTTTAAAGAAAGCTTTTCACATCGCAAGTCAGATCAACCAAATCTATTCCAAAGTCATGTGAATCATTCAAAAATCATGTGTAGCCCGGCTGCCAGCAAGTATCCTCCACCCCAGCCTGGGGCTTCAGATACTTCCTTTGGTAGGCATCCTATGTGCAAGCCCAAGCCCGGAGGCTTGGGGTTCAGATGCCCCTGAGTTTTGCTCACCCTCAGCCATATGGCTGTAGGAGCAAGCTACGGAACAATCTCCCATATCTGGCAGGGGAAATACCACGACCACTAAGGTGGTTTTCCTAGTTGCTGGGGATAACTGCTTTTCTGGCACAGGGTAGTACCCACAGAGGTAATGTATAGTTAACCTCCCACGTTTATTTCCCATGGGAATATCTTGACCTCATGGTATCTCCAGGTAAACAATAAGTTAGCACAACCCACCCAAATAAGATAAATGGTAGTGTCTGTTGAGCAGAGTACCCCCCAGCATCAACTTTTTTTCCAAGTCATGGTGAGCCACTACACTGCATACATTTTGATTTCTTCTTCACTCTCACAGTTGAGCTGCACCTTTCTTTCCCATTTCCAATTATTCCTATTTCTTCATTAATCTTAAATGTCTAGAAACATCACCAAGCAGGGCCCTTAACAGTTAATCAAGAATCCCTCTGTTGGTCCGCCTCAGCCTATAGCATATGAATAGCTCTGCCCTCCTGAGGTAAAGCCAGACCAGGCTGCCCAATGCCTCATCTGCATATACATTTTTGGATGATCCCAGGACTCATTACAAGAACACACAGTTCCAATCATGAGGAGCTAATTAGCACATGGATCTTTTTTTTTGTTTGTTTTTTTGTTTTTTGGGGGGAGGAGGGGGGAATGTATCTGGAGTACACACACATACTGAGCAATGCTGAGCTGTGAGGGTCACCACTGTTTGAAATGCTATAGACTTTGCTGGGGCCCAGCACAATGAACTTTATGGTAAATCATGAGCCTTTTGTCTTTGGACTAATATAATGTAGAGTTTGTATTATATATAAGTAGTGTCAAAGTGCTACTTAAAAGTGTTTATGGAGCCCCTGTGCTAAAACTTGCAGCAGTTTAAAAAAAACCAGTAAAATATATAAATTCTGGATGAACTAAATCTATTAGTGCTATATGTAAATGTCTAGAGCTATGTTTATTTCAAGGTCAGCATTTTCAAATTTGTTTCTCACTTCCATGTGCTCAGAGAGCAGGGTCTGACAGTAAGGAAGAGGGGAAGGGGTTGCATAGAGAAGATGTTGTGGGGAGGAGGGGGCACACTGGAGCCAGGATGCCCCTTTCCGTGCAGCTGGATAGGGCCCTGCTGCTACCTCCTGTGCTGGATTGGGACCATCAGCCAGATCTGGCCTGTCAACCAAAAAGGTTAAGTACCACTGCTTCAGAAGAACATGAGCCTTGTAAAGCTGCAGCCTACACATTCACTCAACATGAGCATGGTGTGGCGTGGTGTGGTGTGAACCTTACCGCACTGTGCAGGAAACTGTTTGTGGTGGTGATTTTCATCTGTTTGCTAGGAAGGGGAGAGACAGTTCCATCATCATCTTCCATGTCATACGGGGCCTATGAACAAGCAAACACATGGCTCGTGAGGACGTGGCTTTTCTCTAGACACCATGCCCATCAGGGCAGTCTTTCCACTTCCAGCCTCCTTCAGAAGAAACCCACTCACTAGCAGAAGGTAAACCCCACCAATACTTCCCTCTCCTCTGTGCCCTGCTGCTGCCTGCGCTACTGAAAGCTGAAAAGCCGAGGGTGATGTCAAATACCAGAACTGCCTTACACTGACCTTTTTCACAGAACAGAGATTTCTCTAGACATAATGAAGCTGCAAGCAGATTTAAAAAAAATCCCTGAACTTTATCTGGACTCATGGAGGACAATGGTAAGACAAAGAAGCATTAGTGCCTAATATTCTTTTGTACCCTGCCAGCTTTACACCTGAAGTCTACATATATGCCTTTTTTGTAAACAGGAGGCTGCCAAATGCATCAGAGCCCCACATTCCTTTTGAATAGACTGTTTCCCTCAGCACATCAGATGCCAGCCTGGCATCAGAAAACACTGTGCTTGGAGGTGTGGGTATTCTGCTGAACGAATAATTCATTTTTCAGCTCCACTTCAGTGCTCTGAACCCCTCCAGACAAAACTAACTCCTACACAAAACACTTTCACACACTTTAAGCAATGCTATTGAAAAGGGGAAGCATAAATGCACAGGGTACTTCCCAAAACGAAGTCAACGCGAGGCTAACAAAAGCCAGCGTGGCCTTTGGCAGACTCCGTAATGTCGATGAAACTAAAGGTTTACAAGGCCATCCTTCTCCCGACCCTCCTTTATGCCTGCGAAACCTGGACCATCTACCAGCGTCATGCCAAGAAACTAAACCACTTCTACTTGTGCTGCCTGTGAAAGATAGTAAAGATCAAGTGGCAGGACAAGATTCCGGACACTGAGGTGCTCAGTTAGATCAGCTCTCCCTAGTATCCACACCCTATTAAAACTGGCACAGCTAAGACAGGCTGACCACCTTTCAAGAATGCCCAACACTCGCCTGCCGAAGAAAATCTTCTACGGCAAACTGTCAAAGGGAGTATGCTTTCACGGTGCACCAAAGCAGTGGTACAAGGATACCCTAAAGATGTCCCTAAAGAATTTTGGCATTGACCCGGAGTCATGGCAGCAAATCACTCATGACCGTTCATCCTGAAGGTCACTGGTCCAGAGCAGAGCACTGGCCTTTGAGCAGCGGCACATAGCAGAGGAAGTGAGGAAGCATGTGGCCAAGAAAACGAGGACCTCTCATGTCCAGTCCTCGGCGCTCTCCTGCACCTGCTGCAACAGACTGTTTGGGGCAAAGATTGGGCTTATAACCTGTGTACCCACACAACCTAGCCTCCACCCCCCTCTTCTCTCTTCTTTCTCCCTTTCTCTTTTCTCCTCCCCCACCTCTTGGATGTGGTCATCTTCGCTTGTGAAGGACAAAAGAACTTCTCAAAACACAAATAAGGGCAAAGTCCCTGCTCAAAAAGCTTATAATTTAACTTAAACCAAAAAATATACATGGAAACAACTCAGGAGGGGAAGATCACTGAAGAAAGGTTTTGTAAAAGAAGTGACATTTAAGGAGGAAGAGATCCTGGTTGGCATGCTGGAAATAAGCATAAAGGTTCAAAGCCTAACAAGTGCTGTAATAAAGAAAGCATGAAGCCAAGACACAGCAGTGGTGGAAGGGGCAAGAGATGGTAGGATAAGATAGATGCAGAGGATCCCAGGCGGCTGCAGAGGTGAAGAGTTCCAAAGATGAGAACCTGGCACTTGAATGTAACAGATGGAAAAAGAAGTGAAAAGATTCAAGGAATGCAGCCGTGTCAGAACAAAGGAGAAAAAAATTAAGCGATGGCCATCTTGTTCGATGAAGGTGGTTAGTGAATGAAGTGAAATGTTAAAGTTGCTGTAATCAAGGCAAGATGACCAAGACAGGACAAACATCTTAATTAGAGCAACAAAGAAAAAACTGAGACACGGCAGAGAAAAATCCAAAAAGAAAAAGAAGCTGGGGGGAGGAGAGGGGGAGTCAAAATCAAAGGGGTTAAGACTGAACTTGAGCAGGACTAAAATTTTAAAATGTAAACATGGTCACGGAAGTGAAGTGACACCCCAAGGTTCAAAACGTCTCCCCTAGGTCTTTAGCGGAAATCTATTCAATTAAGGAACTGGGACACTACCCAACAACATTACTCAATGAAATTCAACATCTGCTTTCATCAAGGCCAACATCTAGAGGTTCTAAAAGCAAACCCTCTCAACAGCACACCTAATCATTTCTGATCAGATACAATGTAGGTAGGCAGGCAGACAGTATGATGGAGATGAATAAATCCCTGATCTGTGTCATGACCCAAAGGCATGATTTTGTGTGCGCTTCGGCACCAGAATTATCCCCACCAAGTCGCAGCTTCATTGCACAGGAGAGTTTCCTGTTGCAGAGGAAAACCCTGGTGCAGGGACGAGTTTCCCGCCTTTTCTGCAGCTTCTTTTGCAGAGTACATTGCTCAAGTTGCAAGAGGAATGCACGGTGCAAAAGAGTTCCCGCCACCGGTATGTAAATTCGTTCCCCGCTATTGGCTAGTTCTAAATTATTCCCACGTGGCAGCTAACGATTGGCCTGTTAGCCGTATAAGAGGCTTGAGCGGTTTCCGCCCAAGCCGAAGAGGACTCCACATCCATCTCGTGGGGACTCTGGATACACGGCAGGGTAATAGAGACCCTGTGTGAGATTCAGAGGAGCTTGGCGACCTGATCCATCGCCCACCTCTTCCCGTCTTCGAGCGCGACTTTTATAAGACGTACCTACGATTCTGATTTTGGTGGCTCGTTCACCC